TTGAGATATGGGCGATTTTATGATGCACGAATTTTTATTTAAGTTTGTGTAAGGGATTTACGGAAAGAGTTTTTCATCAGATTAACTATTTTTACTTTGTTAACAAAAACTATGTTTCTATTAAAATTTTCTATACAAGGATACTACCTTTTTACTAGTTATTTTGCATAAGAATACTTTTAACTTGTTTGCTAAATATGCAAAATAATCCAAAACACAATATATAAAAAATTTAATCTTTGTAAAAATCATTACTTGTAGTTGTTTCTTCTACTTTTTTCAACAAGTTTTTGTTTTGTTAATTATAAGTTTGAAATAAGTGATCATCAAGAAAAGTTTTATAATTTGTTAGTTCAAAATACAATTTTACATATTATTACTTTAAAACTATTAAATTTTTTTTTGACAATTATATTTTCAAATTATATCAAAATTACAAAATTTTAATTCAGTTTAAAAAATATTTTATTATCTTTTTCTTGATGTATTTATTCATAAAATTTAATTTAAAATTAATATGTAAGAAAAGAAACATCAAAGCTTTAAAGTTTATAAGTAGTTTTATATATTTTTGCTATAATTTTATATATAAAAAATTTATATACAAAAATATATGAAAAATCGTGTGACTGATATTATTACCTTAATCACATTAAATTGTTACCAACCAAGTGATTATATCGAGGTTTGACTGAAAGTATAAATTTACGTGTCTCTGAGAAAAACAACACGATTTTTTTAATCAAAAGAAGTCATGGCGGGAGTTCAAGCCTTTCGAACTGTGAAAATAAACGTGAACTACGAGCAGGATAAAAGTATGTCCAAGACTGTTCAAACTTGTATACGCTTACATATTTCGCGTTTTTTTTTTCAATAAAACATTTACACGTAAATACTTAAGAACTATATTCGCTTTATTTCTAAATTAGAGGATATAAAGCTTTTCTTAGAAACCTTCCAGTCAAGGAGTGTCGCAAGCCCAGATGAGTTTATGGACATCGACGTGGAAAATGACGATCCCAATTCCTATAAGTATAAAAGGCAACTTGTAGGTTTTTATATTACTTTTGCATCTTTTATTCGTTCATTTACTAAATCGATTATTTACGAAATTATAGCAAGCTATAGCAAATAGAGAGCAAGATGTTCTTATCATCGAGTTGGACGATATTGCAGCTGTAAACATTTAGAAATTTTTGTTACTTCCTTTTTTTGCTTAATCATTTATTAAATATTAACATTTTAGTGGGAAGACAAAGCCGAGGGTGGTTTACTTCATAGAATTCAAGAAAACACGCGTCGTTACATCAAAATGTTTTACGATGTTATTGATAAAAAAGAAAATAGACTAATGCCTGCACCAGAAAGAGAAATTGATTTTGATGATGATGTCATCGACGTAATCATGCAACATCGAAGAGACAGAGATAGCCGAAGGTCTGAAACAGATCGAACTTCATTCCCACCATCATTGACAAGGAGATAGTAAGTGTTAACTTTCTTTTGATTCATATATGGGCGGTCAAAAGTAGAAACCACCCAAATTGTTTCTAAGTAAATTTTTCCAGACTTTAAATTAAAATATCTCAACAACTATTAAACCAAACTTGACAAAATTTTCTTTATTTTAATTCTATATAGTTATAGAATTAAAATAAAAAAAAATTTATTAGGTTTGGTTTAATAGTTGTCAAGATATTTTAATTAAAAGTTTTAAAAAAACTTATTAAAAACAATTTGGGTGGTTTCTACTTTTGACCTCCCATATGATCTCAACTTTTGTAAAATAGTTGTCAATGATTACCATTGATAAACTTTTTTATTATCATATAGTACCATATATTTTAAACCGTTATCGTCTGAAAAACCTTATTCCATACGTGGCGTGAATGGTAGTTGCGTTGGCCATTTAGTGACTGTACAAGGCATCATTACTCGTGTTTGTGATGTAAAGCCATTCTTAATGGTTGCTGGGTTTTCATGTGAAATGTGTGGTGAAGAGGTGTTCGAAGAAGTGACAAAAAAAACTTATTTGCCACGCGTCGAATGCCCATCAGAATCTTGTAAGACAAATAACGTGAAAGGGAAATTATATATGCAGACGCGCTCTTGTAAATTTGTACCGTTTCAAGAGGTCAAGATGCAAGAACTGGTAGGTCAAATTATTATTATTATCGTTTTTTAAACAATATGTTTAGGCCCTCGCATGAACTGAATGGAGCGGGTAGTAGCAGTAGTTTAGCCCTGTCCGTTGTGTAAGTGCTCAATTTCAAGCCCTTATTTTTACCATAGGGTCTGGAAATTGACACTATAGACTGGTTCTTGTGGACCCACGGGTAGCCCATACTGAGAACTAACACACGGGCTTGGGATAGATATTAGCAGCACCTAACCATACTCATTTGTGTAAGGGTTCAGCTTCAAGTCTCTAGTATCCAAAAGTCGATACCTATCCTGGCTCTTGTGTGCCTATCTACAGATGCCTATGGGTAGCACAAGCTCATGCGAAGTAGGGATTGGAATCGTCTTATATTTAGCCGACTAATTGGTCGACTAAACATAATAATTTGCAATACGGATTTTTTAGTCAACTAAACTGATTCCAATCCTTAATACGAAGGCCTACGAATGTTTAATTAAGCAATTTTAAAAATTTTTAATTTAAACCTAGACCGAACAAGTTCCAATAGGACATATTCCTCGAACAATGACCATCTTATTGCACGGTCCTTTGACGCGTTCAGTAAGTCCTGGGGATGTAGTAAATGTATCTGGAATCTTTCAAGCAACGCCACATTATGGGTATAAGGGAGGAAATACTCTACTGACCGATGTTTACCTTGAAGGTCAGTATGTTCATCAGCTCAAAAAACAATATGATAAAATGGAAAAAATTCCAGAAATTCAGGAAAAGGTATACAAACTCGCTAAGGACCCAGAGGTTTATACAAAATTATCGAGGAGTATCGCCCCGGAAATATATGGTCATGGAGACGTGAAGAAAGCACTGTTATTATTGCTCGTTGGCGGCGTAACAAAAACGATGGGAGATGGAATGAAAATTCGTGGTGATTTAAATATATGTTTAATGGGAGATCCAGGTGTTGCCAAATCGCAATTACTCAAATACATATGTAAAGTAGCACCACGAGGGGTATATACTACTGGACGTGGCAGTTCAGGCGTGGGTTTGACGGCATCAGTAGAGCGGGATCCAGTGACGAATGAAATGGTACTTGGTAAGAATATTATGTTAACAATATAATATACATTAACACATATTGGTTAGTTTCATATTTTAATTTGTTTAAATGTTAGAGGGTGGCGCATTAGTTCTTGCAGATAATGGTATTTGTTGCATCGACGAATTTGATAAAATGGAAGATACTGACAGAACATCCATTCATGAAGTGATGGAACAACAAACTATTAGTATTAGCAAAGCAGGCATCACAACTACATTGAATGCACGTACGTCAATTCTTGCTGCTGCGAATCCACTTTATGGACGATATAATCCAAAAGTATCTCCAAGTCATAATATAAACCTTCCTGCGGCTCTTTTGTCGAGGTTCGACATTCTGTTTTTGATCTTGGATAGGCCGGATATGGACGAAGATGCAAGGTTAGCACATCATGTAGCATACGTTCACATGCATGGTAAGCAACCCCAAACGGGTACCGAAGTGCTGGATGCAGATACGATCAGGTGAGTTCATTATTATAACATATTTAGTGACATTTAATACCTATAATTCACAAGATATTTTATGAAATAGACATTACATTGCTGAAGCTCGTAGTAAACGGCCAGTTATTCCAGAAGCGATAGCAGAACATATGGTCGAAACATATTGCGATAATCGACAAGAACAAAAAATCGCAGAAGCACGAAAGAAAGAATTTACTTATACAAGTGCTCGTACGCTTTTGGCAGTGATTCGTTTATCACAAGCATTGGCGCGTATTCGACTCGAAGATGAAGTTAAACAAGATGATATTGATGAGGCATTAAGATTACTTATGGTATCAAAGGAATCATTAAATGATCCAGCTGACAGAGATTCTAGAACTGATAGATCACCGACATCTGCTATTTATGATATTATTATATCAATTTTTCGAAGAAGTAGAACTAATGGTACGCTTCAATATCTCGATATCAAAGAAAGAGTGATTGCGCTGGCATTTACAGAAGATCAGTTAAAGGAATGTATCAAAGAATATGAAGAAATTGGTATTTGGGCCTTGAATAGTGAGCAAACTATTTTGTCGTTGCTTCAGGATGATCAGTTGGAAGACGATCAGAACGAAAATGATGACTTATAATTTTGTAAATAAATAGAATAACATGGAGACCTGAAAAATTTTGCTAATAAAACGAAAAATTATATTGTCTATTTGGAAACTGTAATTTTGTTATCCTTTTTCAATTATATTTCAAAGTATAATCAATAACAATAAATATTAAGGATTTTCGTTTCATTTCAAATCCTCATCATCGAAATCATCAGGAAAATCTTATTCAAAAATGAAATAAATCATTAAAATGCGAAAAAATATATCAAGTTATCATAATAAACGGATAAATACCATTAAAGAAATCCTGGTCAACAGTTTTATCACTTTGTTGGTTTTGCCTGTGATGATGACTACCGCCTTTATGATGCTGTTGATGTACAGGCCCTGAAAAGAAACCTTCATCATAACCACCAGCTTCTCTTATACCGTAACTTGACTGAGGATTATATGAGGGACCGGCAGTACCGTCGAGTTGTCCATCGTCGTATTCATCCATATTCATTGGATCATAGCCATATTCATCTTGGATTTCGGTTTTTTTATATTAAGTCATTTTAGAAGGAAAACAGATCCAATCCGCAAGTTTTAGGACGAAGAATAAAATATTATAGCACGAACAAGGTTGCATATTTATTTTTAATGCATTTACCCTTTAATTTATCTAGAACCTTCAAACTTACCATCTCCTTCTGGCATTTGAGACATTTCGCCGTTATTTTTTTCTTTTGATTTCCGTTTTCTTTTCCCTATCGTGAAAACTTTACTTTAATAAGCTTTTATTATTATTACTATTATTATTATTATTATTATTATTATAAGGAATGGCAACCAAAAAAGTTTGGCGCAAGTTTTCCCCGTACTTTCTTTTTGCGCGATCAAGAGACTTGAAAGAACAGTCGCGCGAATTAAGTCGGAACAAAATTATTTATATAACGATATATTTAGCGTCAAGTTGTACAGATTATACATTTAAGTCATCTGACTAACATTCGGATCTTAATTGGAGGATTTTGAACCTTTTTGCCTTTGCTTATCGTTATATACAGGAAACTTTCAATTAAAAATGTTTTTTTTAGATTTCTATTTCATAAATTTTTAACTCGTCAATTAAAATTATTAAAATTTAATTATCATTTATATATTTTCTATACATCCACCTAATTTAAAACAAATAAATAATTTAGTATATAGCAAGAATTTTAACCTAAAAGGTATAATAAATAAAGCGGACATACCACTGGAGTCCATAAAAAAATGATAATCCAATAGCGCCTAATCCTACATTGATTTTGCTAGTAGAAGGCCTTTTATATACCCAACGCGCAAAAATGCCAACAAGAGCAATATCAACAACAACACCAACACCACTTAAAACAATTGTTCTTTTTGAAATTTTGCCACTTCCTTGTCCTCGCGCTCCTTTACGTGGTTCGTCTTGAACTTCGGGTTTAGAGCCGAACAGCGTAGCATCATGATTTTCTGTCTTTTGATCTTCAAATTCAACTTGAAAGGGCTGAATATTTCGCGAACGAGTGTTGTTAGTAATTACGTTTGCTTCTAAATTTTCTTTAACAACGTCAGCGTACGTAGCCATGGTTCAATTAATAATATTTAGAATGTTTAAATCAGAAGAGTTTTATATAAATAATTTTTAGCTTAAATATAAATAATTTTTTAGCTTAAACATGATTAACACATGTCCATCTGTCACGGTGAATCATGATTACAAATAGTTTAAATAGTTTGATATAACTGATGTTCATGTTTTAAAATTATCGCTTTTTATAGTACAAGATGCCGACTCAACCGCACATTGTAACTTTAAAACCAAAGCGTTTATTGTTAAATCCAAAATTTGAAGGTTACAAATTAAAACTTTTTGATGAACGAACTCGATTACAACACTTTCCATTACCGCCACCTGGTATATCAATATCGAGATTCTCTAGCTCAAAATTGTCATATAAAGAAATCCAAAATCGTATTCATTATAATCATTTATTTCTTGGATATGAGATCATTGATAAAAAAAGTGTCTGTTTCTATTTTGATAAGGAATTTTATATTTCAATGGTTGAATACGATCAGGTATTGGTGTTTACGAACGTTGATTCATATTTCCAATAATTGATTGATAACGATATATGTTTAATTGTAATAATTAGACGTCAAATTTCATCACCATACATCGTCTCGTAAATATTCCGCAATTTCTGAGTGATCAAACGCATACCGGGGCACACGATATCCCGACACCAAATTTAGAATATCCATCCTTAAAAGCTTTATCGTCGACATTGTTTCTAGTAACAAGCGGTTCTGGAATTATTGTCCTCGTAAAAATAGTAAATGATGGCTCTAATGGCTATTATGGCGAAGTTATTCATCAGACAAATATCAACGTTTGTTCAGAAGATGAACCCATGGATAAGAATATGCACAATTGCATACCATTTGTCATTCTCGATGGAAAAATTATAGGTGGTGATAATGCATATATTTTATTTTCAATTTATTACACAGTTCCAAGGCAAGAAAATTCAACTACCGACAATCTACCTAAGGATAACTCAAGGAAAACTTTATTTGATGTTTCTTTACTGAAAATGTCATTAGAACATCCATATTGTATTCAGACACTACATACCCTTCGTGGAGTCGAAACACCCCTTTATTGTAATATTGACATCCATGGAGATGGGTATGTGATAGGTAGTAACGTAGAATACGACGTTATTAAAAGGTCATCTGATCAAGAACTTAAAGTAGATGAATTAGACAAATCAGATAACGTAGTACGATCAACACAGGACGTCGAAATGAGAGAGACAAAATCTGACAATGATGATAAAGTAGTCCCATACATTTGGACGCAAACTTCAACTGATCTTACAATTTGCTTTCAATTGCCACCTGGTACACCTAAAACAGCAGTCCATTGCAATTTTACCAAGACACATCTTTCTCTCACTATTGATATTGACTCTAATACCAACAACTCAAATTTATTTCCACAGTCACCTATACCTTGCTACGCTTTTACGCATCTATTTGATCTAATTGATCCGAGTTCTTCTCTGTGGACAATTGAGCCAAAAATTGGATTATTGACACTTCACCTTGAAAAGCACCATCATAATACACGTTGGTCACACGTTTTCCAACAAGATGATGGGGTTTTCGAAACAATTGATCCCAATGAGTTTGCAGAGTTTCGGGAACGTTTAGAAAAATATACTGCAGAACTTAATGATTCTAAAGTCGGACATCAAGGCATATTAGATGCTTTGAAACATCCCATTGGCCACGAGATGGAAGAGTCTATCGATTTCGGGAATCAAGCAGCTACTTTTATGTGGGTTGATGTTGATGGAAAAATAAGAGCTAAAACTAGTGCTGGAGGGCATGAATTTATTTCTCGACAATTTGAAAAATTTGACAAGCAAGAATTAATGAGTGATGTCTCACAAATGCCATCTGTATGTTTAAGATTAGATGTGGATGGACTAGTGTATACGATTTTACATCCGTCCAAGCTATTGGATCCTAATTCGCTACCATTAATAATGGATCATTCGACAACTTTCAATGCATTTGCTTTTGTTCAAGCATCTAAACGAGAAAAAAATTTCATGTTTCATGACCCTGATAATCGTTTCGTGATGATTCTAGAAGGAAAACATCATGCGTACGTATATTGGCGTAATGAAGATCGTACGAAGTATGATGATCAATTTGTAGTGGATTTTTCGGAAAAAATCAAAAAGGATACGGATATAATTGGAGTTCAAATGGTAGCAATTAAGGAAGCAGTGATCATGGTTCTTGTTCCCGATTCAGTAATTATAATAAAATTGCTATAAGTTATCTAAGGAAATCTTGACTAGAGAAATGCCTTGCAAGGATAATACTTTATACAAGAAAACTAAAAGTTGTATAAAAATATAGCAATAGCTAGCAAGTTTTCAACAATTGATAATACAATCCGATATTGTAAAATAAAACTGGATGCACAACAATAAAGTATTTGTATAATAAAAAAATATGATTAAAAAGACGTATAAGAGGAAAAACTATTTTTGATTTAGAAGATTTTTAAATTTTTAAAAAAATAAATATTAAATATTGTATATAAGTTGTAATAAAATAGTTTATAGTTAATATATAGACTTTTATAAATAATGTATATAGTATATAATTTGTTTTAGTAAATTAGATTAATTTTATATTAATATACAATAAATTAAAATATTGATTAAATATAAATAATATAATATGTATTATAATTATTATAAAATATATCTATGGTGTTTATGGTATTAATAAGTTTTTTTACTAAAATTTAGAATTAGGGTGCAGCTGTATCTTAAAAACTAGCTAATTAATTAACGTATTAAATAAAAACATTTACTTTATTTTATAACCCCTACATATGAGTTCCTTTTTGGAATTGTACTAAAATATATATAATTTGACATTTTTTAGCAGTGATAACTATTGATCTACTAGTCTGTTTTAAATAAAACAACTACCAAAATGTTCATCTTGATGAGAGGATTCTAATGAGTCCAAAATCATCAAAATCTAATCATTAGATTACAAGATAATTAAAGTTTTTTGCAGTATAACGCACCTATGGGGTGGGACAATTGGTTAGCCTATAGTCTAACCAATTGTCCCTCATTAGAATTCTCTCATCAAGATAAACATTTTGGTGTTGTTTTTATTTAAAACAAACTAGTAGATCAATAGTAAATCACTGCTAAAAACATGTCAAATTATATATTTTAGTACAATTCCAAAAAGGAGCTCATATGAACTCTAAGTTTTCACTTATAAAACTACGTATTAAAAACATACGTAGTATTAACACCACTGGTGTGATTTAGTAAAATTCTAATTATTAATTGCAATGAAATATTACAAAAAAGTTAAAAATCTTAACCCAAAAGCATAATTATAAACCAAATTTTTCTGCAACTTTGTGAATAAGCGCACTTTTCCGTAAATTATAACAAAGGCATCTGGTATTATAAGAAGACCAAATTGCCTATTCGAAGCTTTCTGCAAATGTCTTTTTGATAGCATATCCTTCTATGATTCATGTGATTTGTGTAACATTTTATTTCAAAATCTCGGATTATGATTTTTATGACTATTAGCTAAAATTATTTAAGAACATGACTATTAGCTAGAATTATTGGATATTTGCGCCCGGGCAAATTTGTCTGCAAATACCTTACGGTGTAAAAATTAAAACATCAAATATCTTTATAAAATATGTTTAAAAATATTGTAGATTATAATTAAACAAATCCAAAGCTCAAAAAATAAAAACAGTTGCCATTTATAAAAAATTTAAATCATAAATATTTTTTAACATTTTTTATTTTATTAAAAAATAATCAAATTTTCAAAATTTCTAAAACACAAAACAGATTAAGATAAAATCTTATATTAACTCAAAAAATAAACAATTATTTTAAAAGATAATAGTTTATACTTTATAATCAATAAATAACTCTTATTTGGATTTGGAGTTTAATATCAATTTAAAACCTTTTGATTAATATATTTTTTCTCAATTAAGTAATCAAGTATTATCTAAAAAGCAAGATCAACATTAGTTTACGAATAAAATATTAAATCTAGTAAAATATTATTTACCTTAACACTTTCTTTTAAATTTAATTTGTCGGTACGGATGTGAAGTTCCGGGGATGGAGGTGGTTCATAAGGTGCCGAAACGCCGGTGAACTCTTATAATTTCGAGAAGAAAAATCTGAACATTAATAACAATTACTAGATTTTGCGAGTAAATTATTTGATATTAAAATACCTTTAATTTCACCCATTTTGGCTTTTTTATATAATCCTTTTGGATCACGTTGTTCAACAACTTCGAGAGGTGCATCAACATAAACCTGAAATAATAATAATGCATATTAAAAAAATACTTTAGCACAAATTTTATAAAATTTTAACAAACCTCGATAAATGGAATTCCACTATCTTCATGCAATTTTCTTGCAACATCACGATCAGATTGGTAAGGAGAAATGAATGATGTAAGCGCAATTGTTGTAGAATCTGCAAATAATTTTGCAACCTATTGATAGGAAAAAAAACTTTTTTATTTTTAATTGGTAAAATGTAAAAGTGTAGAAACCAAATCAAAACAAAAACTCACCTCAGCAATTCTTCTAATATTTTCTTCACGATCTTTTTGTCCAAAACCTAGATCCTTATTAAGCCCAAATCTAATATTATCCCCATCAAGCCTATAACATGACGAGCCTAAATGCAATAACTGTTGTTCTAAAGCACTTGCTAAGGTAGATTTTCCCGAAGCAGACAATCCCGTAAACCAAACCGTTAAGCCTTTTTGACCTAACAATTTTTCGCGTTCTGTGCGTGAAATACTGCCCTCGTGCCAGGTAATATTTGTAGACATTATAGGCCACTTCCAAGAAAAGTTAAAAGTCAAATATATATTATATATATATATATTTTTCGAAATAAGAAAATCTATCCATTCTTTCGAATTACATACAAATATTAGTAAGGTTAATGTAGATATTATCAAAAGTAAATCTCTTGTCCCGTTACACGGATCTTTTGCCGTTTACTTCCAGATAAGGTATGCAATCGGCATACGCTTTCCGAAAAAAAACTTTATTCAAAAATTTTTAATTTTGTACATATATAATTTTATTAAGAAATTAGGCCATTCAAACTTAATAAAATTTTTTAAAGTGACCCGGCAACCCGGCTTTTAATTTTATTTTCAAAAAATTTTATATATAAAAACCATATAAAATTTTTTTACAAATTTTTTAGAAAACCCACCCGGATAGTAAATATACTTAAAATTTTTTTTTAAAGTTTGTAAAATTTACCCGGCCGGGTTATGAGAACCGATTTATTAAGTTTGTATGGCCTTAATTTTTTAAAAAAAAATTTTTTTTTTTTTTTTGCCCCATTGCCCCTTTTTGCTGTGGGGGTTCTCAATTTGTGTTTGGAAATTTTGCCATAATAAGAAAAGAATAACAGTAATTATGACAATAAAAAAAGGTGAAATCGGAATGAATCTAATGTTTACCGATTGATCGTATTTATATAAATTCTATTCACATTTCAAAAAAAATAAATTTTTTTAATTCTAACAATGACAACGGAGCAACAGTCAAATATTTCTAGTATGGCAAAGAAACCACTTTTATTATATCTATTAGGAGATTCATTGACGGAAGGATACATCAATTTTGGTACAGATTTTCACTCATATAGTATCAACTTACAGAAAAGATTCAAGCAAGCTGGAATTGAAGTTGTTGTAAGCATCTACGAGTAAAATGAACAACTTTAGTTTCATTATGATTAGAATGTTTATCCTTTTATGATTTTTTATTAATTCTGAAAGATTAAAGAGGAAGGAGTATCAGGTGATCGCGTACTTTCAAAAGATATGGAAAAAAGGTTAAGGGAATTTTTAGAGGAAGTTTCGAATAAAAATCAAAAAGTTGATTGGATTATCATACTTGGAGGTAACTTTAATTAACCTATTTATTCACATCGATATTAGTGTTAGTGATTGCGCTTACCATTCATCGTTAGTTCGGTGCAACTATGTGGTATTTTATCGATTATCCTAATTCAAATTGACTGATTTTAGATTGACTAAGTCGATTTTAACTAACACTAAATCGACTACATATTACTAATTTATATACGTAGTATACGTATACGTACTATATATACTGTTATATATATTGATTACTAAACATCTATCTGAAAAAGGTACAAATGATCTGTTTAGTTCGAGCGCGCAAAGAATTTTCGAAGGTTTAAAAAAACTTTACAATGTTTGTGAAGAATATAATGCAAAAGTTTTAGCAATGTCCATCCTTGAATTTAGAGCGGTATGAACGATTACACTAATAAATTAATTCTGAAAATTAATAATAATGATTATTATTTTTGAACAAATAAATAAATTTAGGCATTGTCTTCGTCTAGTAATAATAATAAAAGGATAAAAATTAATGAATTTATTAAGTAAGTATTATTATTATGGTTATTAATTTGTATACGTATAAAAGATGTTTTTAAGGTCTACAATGGATTTTTTAGAGATTATGCAGAAACGAGCGAAAATGTTACGTTTTACGATTTAGCCAAGGATTTACCATATGAAGATAATTTATATTGGGATCCTGATGGTCTTCATTTGACGAGCGATGGATATGATCATATGGGGGATTTGATTTTTGAATCATTATATAAAGAGATTAAATCAAGTTAATTTAATAGATGTTGGAATTTAGCCATTATCTTAGACGAAATTGGCGTTATAGATTTGGCTTCGAAGGAGTTGGTTCAAAAATCCGGATATACAATTCATCGAATCTCTATCTGAAAGGGAAGAGAAACGTTACATCTATTATTTTACAGTTCATTTATTACCTTTTTTTGTTAATATACGATATAGATTAAAGGTTATATCAATTTGTTGGATTCCTTTAGACGCTACGGACCATAGTCATCATAATTTTACTCTAAATAAAGTAAATGTGAAATTACAGGATAAAATACCATTAAAAAAAAGTTGTACAACTAATCGAAATGCCATGTATTAATTGAATCGCTTGTGAACAGGAGGAACCGTTGATACGTCACAAAATCGTTACACAATTGATGAAAATTTTTTTTATATTATTTTACAATACTTTTTTGGAAGGCTCGCTTGACTTATCTTTTCTATGAAAATTGAAAATGGTTA